CAAACTTTTGTTAAACGAGTATCAACGAATGCATGAGGTGTAAGTAATCAAAAAATTATTACCATATCTCAACCATGAACTGATTTAAAAACAAAGTAAGACTATAGCAGAAAAATAATAATCGAATTAAAAAGTATGCTTTTCATGCAAAAGTATGCACAAAAGTCCCTTCGTTTTTCAACTCCTTATATACGCGTGTTACGAACGAACCGTTGATATCCCATTATATTATAGTTTAATTAGTTGATCGACTAACTGTTTGATTGGACTGAACGATTCATTGATTGAATATCGAAATATATATTGAATAAATTCTGCATTCAGATAGCTGCAGTGGAACGTGAAGCCTTCAGACCAGCGCGCACGTGCGCGCGTGTGCATATTCACATCACCACGTGCTTACCTGTTCCACCTGTCTCTCCTGTCGGACCAACCGGACCCACGTTACCCTGTGGTCCCACTGCACCCTGGTCCCCTTTATTGCCCTTGAACCCTACTTCTCCCTTGGATCCCATGGGCCCGGGTTCTCCCTTTTCACCTTTGAATTGCAAACATTGTATTATATTATTACTGTAATATTATTTTTAAAAAAAGTTACATGGGAGTAAAACATGCACAGTTATTGCAATGAACAAGTGTATGAGATTCACTGCACAGACAATATTCATATAATATTTATGTCGACAGCCCTACTGGTTTCTAGTTAATTTAATAACCGACGTTTACCGGAGTGTGCCATATAATAACAAAATCTACATACACTGCACATATACTACCTGTAAGTGCATATTCATATACATACACCGGTACTTGTACATACCTTGAATACCGATAGGTCCCTGTACACCTTGCTCTCCCTTAGGTCCATCAGCTCCAGTGACGCCGGCATTTCCAGCTGGACCCTGCAGACCTGTGGCTCCCTGAGGTCCGTGCTCACCCTTGCTACCCTTACTGCCCGGTGAGCCCATTGCCCCCGCTATACCCTGCACACCGCGCTCTCCCTTGGCGCCTGTTGGCCCTGGGGGACCTGAAACCGGATATCATGGACTGTGTCATGAGATCATGTTATTCATTCTGCAGATTCAGCAGATTGTGCCGTACAGATTATATAAGAGAGAATAAAGTGCACTGCATGTATTTTGGAAAACTCACCTGCGTTTCCTTGAACCCCCTGCAATCCGGTATGTCCACTGGCGCCTGTTTGACCAGTTGGTCCGGTTTCTCCGAATCCGGTGGGTCCTTGAGCGCCCGTTGCACCGTTGGGGCCGGCTGGGCCTATGCTGCCAGTATGACCTTTTGAAAGTGAAACCACAAGACTGTTATAGCGGTCTTGATGAAAATATTTGAATAGATAAAACTACCGGTACATCAAAATGCTCTCTTCAGAAAAAGACAAAAAATAGGATGTAATGAGAGACGACCGTCGCAATATTTTAAACGCAAAAACCCTTGCCCGACCAATACATACACATGCACATGCATACACAGATACATTTCCATATACATATACATTCTGGTACCTTGTGGTCCAGGGTTTCCTTGCTCTCCCTTGTTCCCAATGGCTCCAACTGGTCCTTGAGCTCCTGCAGGTCCCACAAGACCCTGCTCACCCTTCTGACCAACCTCTCCTTTCTGGCCTGGACTGCCTGTTGCACCCTGCGGCCCGGCCGGTCCGGCGACACCCTGAACACCCGCGGGTCCTGAGAAGATTGACAGAATGTTTGTTACTAGTATACAAAGGATGGACATTGACGTACTTGTATGCTGCTAGAGTGCAACATTTGGGGGTCATTGTGTTCTTGTGAAAGCACAGGCACAGACATGAATATGTATAAGGTATAAGATATGTCGTAGAATAAACTTAATTTTGAGACATTTCGTGAAACATATCAATTTCGTATTGGACTAGAAGTGACCTTTAGGGTCTCTGATCACCATTCTCTCTAAGAAGTTGAATTAATGACATAAGTATCCACCTCAACTTACCAGCAAACACAGGACGTTACTATAGCGTTACAATAACGTATTTTGTTATATAAACGTTACGGTAACGTTCTAATAACGGTCTATGTTTGCTGGGTTCAAGTCACGCCATGTCAGCTGTGTCGCTGCCTTGGTTTGCCGGTGATGTCAATAGCACCAAACCCGTAGACCAAACACAGAGAAAAATTCATCGAAGTGAGTAGCATGTTATCACACAATTTTAAAAATAGATTGCAACGCATCTCCAACATAGTTTGATGCATTTAATAAACAAACAAACAAACAAACAAACAGATTAATAAGTAAACGTTCAGCAAATTAAAAAACACCTACATAAATGAACAAATAAACAAAAGAGAGAATGGTAAACAAATTTACCCCGATTAAGATAAATAAAGCTCGACACAATTCGAATTTTAAAATGATTAAAAACGCGTAATAATTGAAAAAATATTAATCATGTACTTGTATACCTTGAAGACCTTGGGGTCCCATGGGTCCTGCCACCCCAGGAAGACCCTGACTCCCCTTCTCTCCCGCTGGTCCCCTGGCACCCTGCAACCCGGGCAATCCCTGGGGACCCACGGGGCCTTGTGCTCCCATTGGTCCGTTAGCACCTTTAAAATATATATATATATATATATATATATATATATATATATATATATATATATATATATATATATATTGAATTATATTTATTATATTATTACATTATTTGTAATTGTATTTGCATTGAGAGATGATGATACTGATGAGACAATCCTAAATATGTATCCTGATGGAGATGACGGCCGAAACACTATATGAATGTTTTAACTAGAATTAATTGTTTTCAAACAGTGGTGTTTCTGCAAATTATGTCACAAAATTAATTTCTCCATGAAGGTGATGAAAGATCAAATGAATAATTCTGTAACAGTACAAGTAGACTCTTAACTGATACTGTATAAAATTCAATCTTATTATAATGATCTTGAATTAATATATATGTGTACAAAACAAACGTAAAGAAGACATAAATCACCATATAATTCCAAAAGCAGCTAACTCAAATTCATAGCAACACGCACCTTGAAGTCCGGTCGGTCCCGGGGGTCCACCTGGACCTGCTGGTCCCTGGGGTCCTCTGGGTCCAGGCACGTTGACCACCTGAACGCCGGGATTTACTGGAATTACAGTACAATATATTACAACTGACTGCAGTATAAGAACAAACCAGTTTTTATCAAATGGGCAGTGCTATCATAAAAAAATAAAAAGTAAGCCAAGGGAATGGAAGTGTATGTGCAATACTTGTCTTCACTCGTTTAGACGTATTTGTTTATTAAATTCGTTATATTCTACTTTTGATAATAACCGGTAATTTACTTACTCGTGTTAAACAGTGATATATTAGTAAAGCAAGTGATGCAATTCTTGCAATTGGATCCACAGTTAATCCTCAATGTGTTTGAGATTTTAAAAAAATTAGCAACAACTGCAGCATGTGGTTAAAAGGATATTGCCACAGATTTGTGGCGTTTACAAGATGGTCGTGACGTCATTTGCTGAGTTTTTGTAGAAAGCACCATAGCTGACAAATTTATTCGAATGAAAGTGCACGTTCGCAGCTAACAAAGCCAGTATACTATCAAATTACCTGGTGATACACTGCACTTAACTAACAGCATAATATCAAATGGTTAAGGTTTAAAAATTATTTTTTAAACAGCAATATATCACAAAGCGCTTAAACGTAAAGAGATATAGGCTTATGTAGCAAATTACTGGGCGGTATAGCGTGTTCTCCCTATTACCTGCCAAGGTCGATATATGCTTGTTTTTTATCCAATAAGTCTAGACCCCGTCCACTTTATTGCCGCCGAGGAATCTCATCTTGGAGTCGTTAAGAATGAGCAAATATAAGGAACAATATCTATGTAGAATAATTATAGAATAAATTATGTACACAGCCCAATCTAAAGAGTGTCTTTTTAGCCTTGAGGAATTGCAATGTGATACCCTAACTCTAAGCCAGAGAGCAAAAATAAGTACAATCGAATGCATTTAAAATCTTGGTCGGTGAATGTGAGGTTTCACGTTTCGTGGCTTATATCAAATACAAGAAGCTTGGGTGAAATTTTATATACAGCATGTAGTAAGTTCATAATGTACTGGAGGCCTTGTTTGAGAACCCAACACGGACAGGAAATATTATTGACTTTATGCCAAACATCATCAATAAGTTGTCAAATCAATCACTTCTTCTAAACCATACCGTTTTTATGCTAAATGTTAATTGCCCGGGCCCAAGAGAGCTCGCATTCGTTCTTGTGACATCCCGATTTGGATTTTTTTGCAGCCTTACACGTTACTGACTACGCAATGGCTGATCGCAGTGGCTGATTAATATTAGTAAAATAAAAATTGTTTAATATTCTAGATCTCGATCCCAGGTACAAGTATCTGCTTGTGTCCAAGACGCAGCCGGTGGTAGGCTTCTGAACTAATGGGGATTTTTACTTTGTCACGGAGAGGGCCAGTTGAGATATATCTGCTATTACAATCGATAGCCCGGATGGAGTATTTCATCCCGCGCAACCCCAGTCCCCGACCATGGTCTTATCATTAACTTTCTTTGACTATATGGTTTTGTTTCATACTTAGATTAAGTTTGGCTTCACCTATGACGTTTAAGAGCACAACGGGGTCAAAGGCTATTCACATTGGGACGGCTTTAGATTTAGCAAACCCCTGAGAAGAGGAAATTATTAAAAAGTCTTCAAAAGCAGTGTAAAAGCTGGTGCGCTTTCCATGCAACTAATTCCAACGTTTCAAATTTGAGAAAAAAATATTTGGAGTAATACCGCCGAGAAGATATCTTTTTTTCTGCTGAATACAGTTTACAGGTGGTATGAAGTGATTCTATACAGGGCGCGTTCCTAGGTAAATGACTTTTTAAAACTATGAGTTTCTTTTATACCGAGGTTTAGTTTAGCTTCACCTATGATGTTAAAGAGCACTATGGCACTTACCCTGCGCAGTGATACAGAGGCCTTTTCCTTTGTAACATTCGATGTTGGCTCTCCCACCTCCCGTTGCATTGTTGGATAGAACATCAACAGCTGAAAAACATAAAAATATTGACTATAATTCTACACTAGTATATAAAAATTAAAGATAATATTATATAGACTGCGAAGAAATTCTCGCAAAATCATTCAGATATACATATTTTTAGTAAGAAATTTTACTGCAGACTGCAGAAAATGACATACAGGAATTGCCACAAAAGAGACAATTCTTTACAAGTACGTCTTTTAAGACTGGGAATATTAACAAAACAACCATTGCAGAGGGTTTGATTAAAATGCATGATGTTAGAACGCTCTTGCGAAGACGCATTCCGAACATACATGTATATTCACTCACGCTTCATTTCAGACGAATTCACTCTAACAAAAGTAAACATATTTTCCCTTTCACCAGAACCCTAGATATAAATAATGGAGTACAATATACCAGGTGAACCTGGTATACACATATAATACCAATACATGTCAATATTAGAACAAACAGAACTGTGTAGAACCTTGACCTAATGAGTACTACTTAGTATTCATGTCCATGCTACTCATCTTTTAGTATATTTTTTTCGCCTTTTTTCATCAAAAGAAAACCGATCACGCAATCCAATTCGAATCAACTCTGAATTAATTAACCGATTATAAATATCCCAAATGTTAACCCAATTGAATACATTTCATATTTCTTTCTTGACTGTCATCTTATATTGTTGAAATTCCTTTATCTTCCAACCCCGTTTAACGGAGGGGATGGTGGGGGAGGGGTCACGAGAAAACTAGGGGGCACCACGTTCCGGGAAGGTATAGATTCAAAGTCGTTAACTGGTACGCAGCCCCTTATTCTGTGTTCAGTTGCAAACAACTGGAAAAATAATGCGCTTTTCTCGTCTTTTACTTTTTAAATCTAGATCATTCCCAAAAGTTCACCACTATTGATTATATCATAGATATCCCCCTTAGCATCACACAGACAATTTTCTGAATTGGCTGAATCTAGGGTATTTGTCTTCCTGTTACAGTGGGTGTAGTGTTAATTCAAACCTATTAAAAACCACTAAGCACATCCAAGTGAAGCCGCTTTTGCTTTTGTTAGAAAAGAAATGTTGGGGAAGTTAGTAGACAAATAGATCGAGCACAATGGCTTACAAATCAATGGGTGACAGATTGTGATCTCTGATATTACTTCTTTGAAGACTTTTAAAAATCCTTTGATGGAAAATCAACACTTATTGAAAGGAGTGTTACTTAACAGATCGGCACTGTTAACGACACCCCTTTTGAATTTGCTACGAATGGCTTTATTACATCATATAATATCATGCCTCGGCGACTTATCGTCGAGTATATCCCCCGCATAAACAAAGGTATGAAACTTAAGTTTTGAATTAATGGGATGCTGACAAAACTCTTACGTCCAGGACAAAATGCACTCAATGACCGAAGGCAAAATTATAATCAAAACTACAACTCTCCTTTTTCAAAATTAATTGATTATCTGATCTCATCCAGTGTCGTTTTGAGCTTTTAGACTTTTAGTCCAGTAAGGGAAAAACATAGGCTGGAAAAAATGACATTCGATTGCAGTTATCAAAAGGAACTAAAAAAGTCATTAAAATTGAATTTTTTTGTGAAAATAAAGTAAGTTGATGTATTTTAAGTTGTTTTGGACCCTTTGACATATATACATGACCTTGACCTCTGATGACTTTCAAACTATTTTCAAATGAAAGGCCATACCTTTTTCATAAGAAATAATATCTCTCACAAGTTTCTAAGTTACCCGGATGAAATGATGTGCCAATTTGAATTTTTCCCTACGCATTGGCGGCCATTTTAGATTTTTGCATCTACCAGGATTCAGGTGGGAAAAATCTCAGTACTATTGGTTCATCACTGAGCCGTGTTCAGTTGAGAAATTTTCGTTAATATTTTTTTCAAATCCATTGAGTAAAATTGCTCATTTACTGGCCCATCTCTTCCGAAACTCAAAGAATGACATAATTCTATATATATTACTATAGTCCTTACGTTGAATTCACTGCATACACTGAACTATAGCAACCTGGCTTGTATATATCTTATATCCATTGAGAAATACTTATAACTCATAAAACAAAAAATAACATCTTTCGCAGGTGTAGTACATATAACGGTGCAGGGTACAGTAACGCCCCTCCTGACAATCAGCTGCTCGAGGACGCCTGCCTGGTTATACTACCGACGCTGAATACTACTCCCACAGAAACCAGATCATTAAGAAGTACTGAATTTTACACCAGGATTGAATGTGCTCCACAATCCTTAACCCTGAAACTTATCCCTAAGATATGGACATCCGATCACTATAATCCGCAGTTTTCTTTAACCTGGGAGGATAAAGCTAAAACCTGAAGTAGATCGAGTTGGACTTCACGAAAACAAAGAGAATTTGCATGCTAATTTCATTGGTATATATTTGCATATGTAAAACTCTAAAATGGCTAAAATGATTTAGCGCGCCCTTAATACTGAAGATGTGCAGTTTTTTTAAAGACCAGTCGCTCGATGTTTTTCTTCAAGATATGGGTGTACTTAATAAATGATATACTATCCTTGATGCCTCACTGCGCTTAATAAGCTTTCTTTACAACTTATTATTTGGCCATCTGCCGTGCTGAAGATATTGTTGAGTATATTCATACGTGTCATGTATATTTTACAATGGAGTCATAAAGAGAAAATACATGGCCATGGGTATCTGAAACACGAAATAATTTACGCATCTTTTGCGACCAAGATTTAATAACATTGGCACGTCATAAATGTAATACCACATTGGAAATAAGTTTAAGGACTTATATATGTCATCCTGACATTTATATAGCATATATGTCTATATACGATAAATAATTCATTCATTCGCTCGCCATCAAACATAGAAGCGTTTGATACACGCATAAATTTGCCATTGTAGGGGATGGCCATAGCTAAAAGCAACAGTTTAAAAGCAGGGTCGTTCAAATGTTTTCACTTTTTTATTCGCACATATATAAGGAGCAGCGCAACGGAATTTCTGCCTAATGGGTTGATGCTATGAATCAATATAAAAGACGATGCAACTAAGACTGTGGCCATCGCGTAACCATTGTTCAGACTAAGTTATTTGTAATATTATCAATGCGTGACAAATTGCTGCTGTAATTTTTAACAAAACAGCAACACAATAACGATCCATTGTACAACAATCAAAACAAAGAACAATATATATTTCTTCAGTTTGGTAAATAAATCAATATTATATTTTAAAGAAGGGGGATGTTAAAAATTACTTCCTATATGCATTTCTGGGAGTGCCATTATGATATAGATAATTAAAGACTCACCTCCCTCAAGCAGTAACACCGCCAGTACCAGAAAGGGCGTGGTCCTGTCGCGTCCGGCCATTTTTAACAAGGCGATGCAACCTGTTTTGGGTGCTTGTAGTTATCCAGATATAGCTGTCGTCGTTGGCGTGTCACTACCTACAGCTAAAATAGAAAAAAACACAAATCTTCATTTTAAAAGGGTAACTTAATCGAGCAAACAATGCTGTATGTTAAGTCAATATCACTTCCGAGGCTTATATCATGTAACGACCCCCCTCCATTATAAATGTGCAATGCAAAACATGTTTTTGAAATTTGGTATTACCTCTTAATATAGCCATCTTTAAACATGTATTTTTTAAAGATGGAGACTTTTTTGCGTAAATAAAAATACAAGTGACCTGCACACGAACACCCGTAAGATCACTCTTTCCCAATACCATTAAACCACCACCCTGAGCAGAGTTCTAATTAATAGCTAACTTTCACATTTATCATAATGAACATTCATTTCTAGAGAAAACTTTGAAAAAAATGCTATTATAAAACTTAAGTGCATGGCCCTACCGTGCGCTATCCGATTATGAATGCGGCCTACGGGGTTCACGCCCTGTCTATGCGGACCCTATTAGCTTTGGGACGTCTAAGAGAGAGTGGGTTGAAGAGAGCCTCCCCCTTACCACGCACAAACAAACAGACCCAATACGATAACCAAACACGAGCACTCATGTCATTGCACGTACTTATTTCTCCCATTCTTAAGGAGGCCCATTGTTATGTAATCACTGAGTCGATTCGTATGATGGCGTTGTAGATTTAAAGGTATACACTTGGATGCTTTGTAAGCTGAACGCTTACTCGATGAACAGTGACCAGGGCAACTTTGCCAAAGGAAAGGATCAGCGTTGAACAAAAAGACAGTGTTGAATGATATTTTAATATGTGTATGTGGCAAAAGGCCATTGGCATTCGGGATACCACCGGGCAATTCCCTGCAGTTACCCAAGGGTGAATAAGAACCCCTTTGACTTGTATCAATTCGCTTCGATCGTATAAACATTTTGTCGAACTGCTCGGTCGACGCACTAATATCAAATTTTACTAGTATGATTGATATACCCAAATGGAACACTTGATAGTTAAGATTTATTTCTACAAGAATGAACTCAATTAAAGGAACTATATGCATGTCCTCCCACCCAAGTTCTCTCTCTTTCGCAATGGGAAGCGATCAGTTGTTTTTCTTTTCCTGACTATAAAAGCTTTTAAGTTATTAATGAACAGTTGTAAAGGGTACATTTCATATTTAAACATTGAATGGCACACAAAAGTCATTCACGGGTATTGAAAAGGCGTTGTCTTAACAAAACAGAAACGCTAAGTGTCGTGTTTACTCGGCAAACCGTCATTTGTGAATGGGTAAGATCTTGTTACGGCTCGACGCCGCGTATATAAAAAGTGGGGTCATTAAATAAGACATACATGTACTGGAGAGGATAAATTAAATTCTACTACCAAAAAAAAAAGTGCCACCCTTAATGCAATTCGTAAAGTGATACAGGAAGTCATGGTAGGGGCATTGCTGGAGTCGCAATTTTGTAAATTGAGATGTCTTTGATAATTAAACACAAACCAAGAATTTGAGACACTTTTCTGTTGATTCCAAAGGGGGCTAACCAACTATGCCGTCTAAACATATGTGTGGCGGACTTATAGTTTTTAGGGCATAAAGTTCGGTATGAGAACATTTATAAAGTGTTAGATGTCCTTATGTATGTATTATGTAATAAAATAATAATATTAAATGCATGGCTGTTGAATTAAAAGTTTACCGATATGCATCATGTTGGTATGTCTTGGTCGGTTCAGAAGATCCTCGCGTTCTTTATACCCCTTGTTCGTCTGAAACCTTAAGTCAATATATGTGTAAGGGTTAAGGTTACACGCATGCTTGCTTATTATATAAACACTGTTCTATGTGTGAGAGAGGTGTACGCGGGCGTGTCCAGCAAAGATCACAAGGCCAGGGTGGTGCACGGCGTTTGTTGTCTAGATGACGGTCAACCACGAAATCATGAGGCCCTCAGGTGCTGTCCGAGGATTGAGGTCTTCGTACGCCGTCCAAAGGTCAAACGTGGTTAGTTTTGTGTCTGTGCATGGGCGTGGTATCATGATGCAAAGTCGTTTCTTTGTAGTTAGTAATCACTTTTATTCTCTTTTTTCGATCATATTTCTGTAGCGTAGGCACAAAAAGCACAAGAATATATTTTGAGTAATTTTGCGTAGCCATGATAATTTGTTCACTAATTCTATTCAAAGAACACTATTTTGTAGTCCACTAATAGTGGTTCAGGTACCGTACATGTACTTCTTTACACCTTTCAAATTAAGCAAATTGCCGTTGATGCATTAAAACAAAACTAGATTACATATTTACATAAATGCTTTGACTTTTATACAAATATATATATCACTTATCATGTCTCTTACATCTAAAATTGTTAACATTGCTATGGACATGATAACAAAAATATCTGCTTTTTTGCGGCTGAGACCCTTAAAACGGGGTCTTAAAACTCCATATTGATGTTTTTCACATAATTTGTTTATGGTCAAGTCTGCAAATATAGTCAACTGTTTCCCTCCTTTCCCTACAATTCCTTAATGGACCACACGTCGGTTATTTCTTGATCAATAAATCACTATTTTCTGACAGTTAAAAGTCTGCATTTAGCTGTATGAAAGAAAGTTCAACTTAAAACTAAATCGATAGCATGTTGAAGTTTTGTAGTCAGGACTTCAGAAAAACACATAGGCCTAAACTGCATTTTGAACCCTAAATTCCGTATTATATTCAAAGGCAAATTTGAAATTATGCGAAAAAATATTGGAAAGTATTCAATAACCTAAGTCAATTGACATGGAGAAGTAGGCGAATTGCTAGCTGGAAATACATGCATATTCTACGCAAATGAACGACGAGAATGTTTTAATACCCCGATGTTTAGGTCACGGTCCAATTATCAAAACACCATATAAATGTGTTATTTTGCGTATCTAATCTTGACCACAAGGATCACTGTTCTTGACTATCTTTTTCCTCTCTGCCAGATCTCGTTGATCAATTTCAATTATCACTCAAAACCCTATATAGTTTACAAAACAAGTCCCCTTTTATCGCCAAAAAATAGAAGCCCGCTAATTCTAATCTGGATCGGACATACGGCTATGACCAAATCCGGGCGCTTTACGCTTATTCTACAGATGTGATATATGAGGCAAAAACTCTCTTCAGGGTTTGGCAGGGCCTCCCATGGTGGTCGAACTGTTGGCTGGGATATCATCAAAATTGTATGCCGCGGATTTCTTGGATCCGTTTGAATTTCTCTGCCTCACACAAATTGCAAAGCTGCCCAGGAGGTGGACGATCATTGCCCCAGTGATGACGGCGATCCATATGGTCAACACGTCTGTGCCAAGGCCGACGAACTGGGCGGCGGTGGGCACGACACCTGTAAATAAATAAACAAATAGATAAATAAATAATGAGCAGCATACAGCAAATTACTGCTTCGAATACTGAAGTGCACGCTGAATAATGACAACAACAACAATAATATTTCTTTAATAATCAAATATTCATAACATTTAAAATTGTGAATATTTACTCAATATGTCACGTTGGTAAATACAACTATACATGGCACATGTCAATGTACATTATAAACACTCAAAAGTTTACAGAAATAATGACCTTAAAAAGTAAAATACAATTATGATGATTAAAATAGTTACAATCCTGCGCGAGTAACGTAAACTTTTAGTTCACTCCGACACGTTTCTGCCGTGAGATATCGTTTTTTGCCGGTGAAGGACGTTCATTCATATTGCACGATTCTGGCAAACTCTCAATCTAATACCCACCTGTCTCGCCACTGCCTGTCTGTGCCCCTGTGGTGGCAACGATGGCGGTCGTCTGGAAACACCTGTAGCTACCGTACGAGTTGATACAGGCAGCTCCAGATGGACACAACCTGGCCGCTGTAGTGGCGTTTGCACACTCGTCAACATCTAGCAGAAATTGAAAAAGGAAAAGAATTTTGTGTTTAGGTGTTTTTTATATGCAGGGCTGGACCTTACAGGCACACGGGTGATTTACACATTCCGCTTTTAAAATTGCCCTTGGCCACTAAACGTTAATGTAAAGTTGACATTCAGAAGCTTTCTGAATATTAATGTGGTCCTCTCTGAATTGTTTAAACCCTCAAAAGCACTTACCCACACACGTGTGCATGTCTGGTGCTAGGCGGAACCCTGGTTGACATGAACAGAAGTAACTTCCGTCTGTGTCCGTGCACCTGTGCTGGCAGCCGCCGTTTCCGACTGTACATTCATCAAAATCTGAAACGAGGCGGATGTTGTTTATGAAAATGCTAATCATAAATTAGATTGAGAATTCGGTTCAATATAAACCACATTACGTTGTTCACCTCCTTTGAGATCAGCTCTATTAGTGAAGTAGATGCGAAAAATTGTCGAGAAGCACAACTCATCCTTGCAATGACCATGACAGGAATTTTGTTTTACAAAACCCGCCTTTAAAACTTCCACTTACTTATACAGTCTGTTCCATTGATGGGTATCAGGTCGTCTCCAATTCTACAAATACACTGGTAGCCTGCGTCCAAGGTTTCACGACAGCTGATATTTTCGACTAAAAGAAGAAATAAAAAGAAATCACATCCAGTCAATTGAATAAAACTTAGTTGTGTTTGTTGTAACAGTTTCTGCTTCAGATCACTACGATATTTTGTTTGCACTAACAATATACCGGATAACAAATTATCTTCCTAATCCCCAGTGGCAAAACTGTGCACAAACTACAAACTGACAGAAAAATCAAACAGTAAACATGGCTTCAAAGGGATCGTCGGGCTTAACAGAGTCCAAATTGAAAAAAGTTTAACAAACTGTTAACAACATGAGTTTATAGGTAGCAGAACAGTGAACAAATTATGATTAAAAATTCAATTTTACCTACCCAAAACTATATTTTATTTAACTATATATTTTCTTGAACTTAAAAAGGCGCTCGCTGATCTTTGATTAAATCCTAGTGGTCAATATTGTTTTTTCTCGAGTTTTCCGCGATTCGACTGCTTGAAAAATAATTGAGGGGCGTTAAAAGCGGTGCATTCAGTATAAACTCCCGGGGCGCCTTTTACAAGACAGAAGCATAAACTAACGTGTGCAGCCGGGAATGGTGAGGGTTCCAGTCTGTATCCAGTCCTGCATGAGCAGCAGTATCCATCATACGTATCCACACAGATCTGAGAGCAGTTGCCGTTGTTGATCTCGCACTCGTTGGTGGCTGAGAAATGTGAGAAACGAATATTTAAGGCATTAAAATACAACAAGATGTGTGTTTTCATGTTAACATATACATGTACACTGTACCTCAAGTTAATTGACAATGTATTGTAGTTTGCATTCATGCATCATGCGTTATTCTGAATTGGAGGAAGTTTTAGATAGCGCTTCCAAAGGCGATGAGGAGAAGAAGAGAGGAAGCTACTCACCAAAGGGCGAGGCTGGACCTGGCGGTCCGGGGGGTCCTGGGGGTCCACCCGGTGGTCCAGGGGGTCCTGAGGGCCCAGGTGGTCCAGCTGGACCGGCTATCCCTTGGATCCCTGTCTGTCCGTTGTCACCTCTAGACCCCTGTGGTCCCCTCTCTCCTGTTGGTCCTCTCGCCCCGGTGTCCCCCGTGTCGCCTCTGGGTCCTGCCAACATTATGTGTAATTTCTTAGACTTATTATTACTTTTTTAGTTTGAGTTGTTGATAATGTACATTAGTATGCAACAATATGTGGGTATGCAACGCATGTGATTGCACAGGATGAGAAACATTATACCAAAATGATAATCGTACTAATTTTTAATGTCCATTAATAGTTTTTGCATACGGTTACTTTTATCAGATAATTAACTTGCTTGATATGGCTTTTGTAAGTATACCAATATTAAAGGTAGCATTTCTCTATGCATTTGTTATTACACTTAAAACTCGTAAAGTACAAAAAGACTTGCCTGCTTGTCCGGTCTGACCGGAAGCTCCAGTAACACCTCTGTCGCCCAAATCGCCCTTTAGACCCTGTGGACCTATAGAAAAAATGAAGCTATATATTGTAAAATACTCAGTAAAATGACCCTAACTGGGGTTTCTTCAGCTTATTGCAGAAGATGCTTTATTTTACAAAGTAGCCGCAGAGGATTTCCCATCATATTGAAGACTATATATCGAACAAATTAAAGTAAAACATAGTAGGCTAAGATAAAAATACACTACGAAACTTTAAGTAACCAAAAAAGAGCGTGTATTTCAACAATTTCCCTCAAAAACACTTATGACACTTCTGTGTCATAAATGTTCTATACAACCATTGGTGGTAAAATACATACTGGCACAATATTGTTGTGATCATTATATATATCGCCCAAATTTGTTTCTAACCATGTCCTTTTTCGATCATCTGATATCCATATATGATATCTAGAAGATACCTACCAGTCTGTCCTGTAGATCCACGTGCTCCTGCCTGGCCTGTAGGACCGGTCGCTCCAGAAGGACCAACAGAACCTGTTGAACACAAAATGGTAAAACAAACTAGCAAAAACGGGAACAATTTCACAAAATAAGGAACACGACTGTGGTTCTTTCTTGAACTATAGCACTACTCATCATGAACATTACAATGGAATATAGACATCAGTTTCTCTCAAGATGTTCGACCTCATTAATGGTCTAAAATCTATAATCTGAATAACCTCGGCCTCATGTCGACCTTTACCTTGGGTACCGTCACTTCCTCTCGGTCCAGTTACTCCTGGTTCGCCTTGATCGCCCTTGGCTCCCTGCGGTCCTGGACCGCCCGTCGCACCCGGAGCACCAACAGAGCCATTGTAGCCCTGACTACCTCGTTCACCTGGAGTAACAGAGGCAACGGGAAGGTTTTTAAACTGTCATTTTTTTCAGTGGTTAAATTGGATCGTTTAATCAGGCGACTTGAAAAGTCGTGCATTAGAATATTGTCGTCTTCAGATCCAAAAAGATATTGAAAATGGCAAATCAAAAATATGCATGTGAATTTAATAATAAAAAGAATGGAATTCACTTAGATTTTGCCAATGTGTGTACGGGGTCCTAATAAGCGTTTTCCATGGTTTAACATACCAGTAGTAAGCGATGTTGCAAGACGATTCTAATTGATTACATCGTCCCTTTGTATTGAAAACACTACCCTAATATGAAAATTAACTTCATAACCTTACCTTTCTGTCCCTGCACACCCTGTATACCAGTATCACCCTGTGGCCCGGCAACCCCTTGTACACCCTGAATACCCTGGGGTCCCTGGAGACCTTGTTCTCCCTTCTGACCCTGGGCTCCATTTGCTCCCACTTCTCCCTTAGCTCCCTGGAAACCCTGTATTCCCTGTACCCCGGGTTCTCCCTTAATACCCTGGAATCCCTGCTCTCCTTTTGCCCCGGTCAATCCGGTGTCTCCGGCGTTGCCCTTATCGCCCGCCACACCCTGGGGACCGGTCAGACCGACACCCTGCTCTCCTTTGTCGCCTTTGACTCCGGCGTTGCCTTGTATTCCTTGCAAGCCAACTTGTCCCTCGGGTCCTACCTCTCCTTTGTCACCTTGAAAGGAAATGTTGAAGAAAATGTTGAAATTATCTCCACAATAATCAATATCATATATACGTCATTTTTGCGTTTTTTCTTGGCAATGAGTATCCTTATTTTGTAACTAATAATTCTGACAGGAATACATGTAGTCATTCCAATTATCCAAATGTTTAAATTCAAACAACACGGAACCAAAATGAAACGCATATTCAAAGTAAAATTTTGTAACAATGACGTGACAAACCACACCTTTAGCTCCTCCTGCGCCAACTTCTCCTTTTGCGCCATTTGCACCTGTTGGCCCTTGTGGCCCGACAGCTCCGGTGGCCCCTGTGGCACCCCCCGGTCCTACGGCACCGACCTCTCCCTTCGCACCAGTAGCGCCGTCAGCACCTTTGGCACCTTGATCGCCATTATCTCCCTTTGAACCTGCTGCTCCGGTGGGTCCGGCCACACCTGAAATATTTCAGTTGTGACGTGCCATATTCTTGTTAAAAATTCTTTAAAAATGTTCATCTTTATTGCATCTCCTCTTAATTCATATACAGTACACTAATGATGGTCATGTGCGAAATGCAATACTGTTTAACATATTTAGGACCCAACAGCATGCTCATTGTACGATTAACCATAAATTCGATTGGCAATTGAATTCTTGGCTGCAGTTAGACACATTTGTGTGTTACATCTATGGTACATGGGACAGTTCCGCTTGCGACGAGATGCACCCTGAGCCCTGCCGCATAGTATCTTACCTGTGGCCCCTGTTGGCCCTGCGCTTCCAGCGGCCCCAGCAGCACCTGGCGCACCCACGGCTCCTGCTTCACCTTTGTCTCCTTTAAACCCTGGTTCTCCCTTCGTCCCCACAGCGCCTACTTCTCCCTTGGCGCCTTAATTAGAAAGCACAGATGAGTGTTTTTAGTTTAACATCCGTTGCCAGAAACCGCTTTTGTCACCTCCCCTATCTCTTTCTTTATGTCTCTCCCTCTCTATTTCTGTTTTCATTCAGGCTTACATTGGTCCATCAAAGCTTTGGAATAAATTGCACTAAATTAAAATGTCCACTTTCTCGCAGTACCCGTGTATATATTTCCTGCACTATAACCTCAGTCGACGTCATACAATTTTATAAGGTAGATACATGGGCTTCACACGGCATATTGCATATGTTCCAAAATTTTATATGATATATCAGACAGCAGATTCGAATAAAATCGGACATAACAGGTACCTGTAAGTCCTATCGATCCTTGGAGGCCTTGCTCTCCCTTCTGTCCAGCAGCACCGGTGACACCAGCCCGTCCATCATTACCCTGCAGACCGGGGCTTCCTTGTTGACCAACGTCTCCCTTCTCCCCTTTCACGCCCTGTATGCCGTTAGCCCCCTGGATACCTTGTACACCAGCCTCGCCCTTGGAACCTTTTTGGCCTTGGCTTCCTTTAGGCAGACAGAGATCGTGCAATATTTTATATACATTCATAACCTTCTGGCTACATTACAGATGCTTTAAACACAGAAATGCTTAGATTAGACGGTGTGTCTATGATAACCACGTGCTTGTATTGGCGCAAAATACCCAGCATGACATACAGTGCAACTATGGGGGTAGGGAATTGCATGCCTTATATGTCTTTTTCTTCTGTTTCTTGTGTTTTTTATTCGTCTTTTCTTTAACTACATGTACTTACCAGTGTTCCCTGGCAGTCCCTGGGATCCGGTGGGGCCAGTAGCTCCGCCGGGACCTGCTACACCGGTCTGTCCAACTCCGGTAGGGCCCTGTGGGCCCATTTGTCCGGTAGGGCCCTGGGTGCCAGGATTACCAACTGAACCTGTAGGGACACAATTTTTTTCAAAGTAAGTTTAAAAGCGATGGTGTCGATGGTGTCGTGGCCCAGTGCAATTTACACAACAAAAATAGGATTTTTGATGTTTCAGCTGTCTACTATTGTTAAAGTAATCGTGTTGGATCTTTGCTTCTATAATTGAAAAACCTTTATTTTAGTCTTTCAGAAAACTTACAGAGAATAGATGTCATTGAATACTGTACCTTGAGGGCCCACTACTCCCTGTTCTCCTTTGTCGCCCTTAGCACCCACTGGTCCTTGGGACCCCACTGGACCAGTTGGACCCATAGCTCCCTGTTGCCCAACCTCTCCCTTCTGTCCGGGGCCTCCCGCTGGACCCTGTGGCCCTGCTGGTCCTTGCACTCCTTGAATACCTTGTGGTCCTGAAAAGGGCACATTGAGTTACACCTCATTGTTACTAACTCCATGTTTTATATCGAAATCACCGTATCAGTACACGCCCGTTTGTTCTTTTTTCAGACCTTCTGAAACTTTGGATGTTTTCAAATGGTTATTGATGAAAAAAGAATTATAGCAAAGAATGTCCTGTTTTGAAACCCTTGCATGAGGCATAAACCTGTGAAAATAAATTGTCTTGTCAACGTTTACACTTTGAAAAATGTTCGATATAAAAATCAAAAATAATGTTAGATTAAGTGTTCATTTTATTTTTTATGTGCACGACTACCTCTCAGTTTCACTATACATGTACATACCTGGATTCCCTTGGGGACCCATAGGCCCTGCGCTCCCTGGTGCCCCAGGGTTACCCCTTTCTCCCTGGACACCCTGTGCACCCTGGGGTCCAACCGACCCTGGGGCCCCCACTGGTCCCCTGATCCCTTGAGGACCCTCAGCGCCTGATGCCATCAATTAAAAAAAAAATGATAATTAACATTTTGAAAAAAATAGTAAATCGAGCCTTGGAATATATTTGCTGCAGGGAAAAGTCACTTAGAGATACATTCTTTTTATTATTATATCTGTTTAACTTGATGTGTAAAATGAAGGATTGATTGGAAAGAAATGAATAGAAAAATTAATACATGTACACAGTGGAACAACATAAAATGGAAGCAATAGTATTTTAAAGTCGAAAAATTTTAAAAGCAGTATTAAATATTGCCAACATAAATTACGCAAATATCACACCATACCCTGTTGTCCGGCTGGTCCCGTGGGTCCAGCTGCCCCGGGGGAGCCTTTGGGTCCTGTAGGTCCACTTACATTAAATACCAGCGTTCCAGGATTAACTGAAATAATGACAAAAGTTACATATGTAGGTCTAATTATGCTGTCATTATCGACCTCCATGGTGTCACAAGCCTCGTGACTTGTTTTATTTGTTCCTTGCTATAGTTCATTTACATTCCATTCATAAAGCACCCTAGAGCTGGTAAATATAAGAATGCACCCCATATTTTTGAGGATTTATTTGCAAAGAAAAATCGTCTCAGATGACACCAGTACGTACCTGGAGCCTCATAACAAATAGCACCTTTTCTGAAGCAAGGGACGTTAACTCTTCCTGCTGCGGTACCTGTCTGGGTTTGAGACACAGCTGAAATAAAATATAACTATCATTATTATATTTTAACATATGTGAGGTATTCATTGTATTAATATCAAGGTCTAAAATGTACCTCGTTCCTGCGTTATGAATTATTGAAATTTCCATGAGGTTGTTCTCGCTGTACTTGTACTTATAATCTATGTATTGCCATCATCGTTATTATTTTTAGTATGGGAGACGTAGTATAGATAACCATTAAATTTATCAATTGTGTCATTGCGTGCTCAGTCATTGTCATTATTACTGTTACTTAATTCATCATTATCATTTTTACTATAATAATGAATAATAATAGTAAATAATATTGGAGAAACTGAATTAGAACGGCAGCGGTGCTCAATCGACAGGAGCAATGACTCATCCAGAAGGGGAACATAAGCATAAGATGATTTGATTTGATAAACATAATATGATTTGATAAACGAAACCAGTTTTTCTTTTTTCACAGTATGTCGGGTGCAGGTATCGGGAAATGTACGAGTTTGTCTGGTTTTGCCTGTTAGAGGAAGGGGGAGAGAGAGTGGTTACACGAGCCTCATAAACTCCAAAGCTAAGGATGGCCTGCCTTTCTCATACTATAGGGTGTTCCCGCAGCATGGGGATTAGCAATAAAGAATTCCATACGCCCAAGGGTAATGCGATTTCATTTAAGTGGTTTGACGTTGCATCACTGTTCGTTCAACAGTAGAATTTATGAATTTAGCGACCGTAGGCCTTTGACCTTTGGTGAAAGGTGACCTCTATACATGTATTACGAGCTGCAAGTAAAATATTTTTTTAGTCAGTAGATCGCGTATTTATGCAGGCACATTGAGGTTTTGTCCGTCCACATTTGTTAATGACTTGTCCATTTTTCACCTCATTGGCCTCATTGGGCATTGGCATATATAATGCTAATGGTTGTGCTTACTTTTTAATCAATGGGGCAGATTCCATTGGGGAAAATTATGCACTTATTAGAAAACGATCTGGGAGTTGTCCGATTGATAGGGAGCGTTTAGGGTTCTGTCTTCTGAAATCTCCCAATTTTCTTCATAGCAACGCTTATGAAATTGTCCATGCCTCTAAGTCATGTTAAAAGTTTAATACAATGATTATATTGTCACGTGCTCACGATGTGAGCTAATTTTTTCACAAATATTATATTTATTTGAGCTCCAACACAACGTTCCCTCGCTGTTTTCCAGAATGACATTTTTATTTGACCTTCAGTACGATCATCGACGTATTATTTCGAACCTTTCATTGCACACTGGGCGCAACGGCTGTAAGTCGATATAAAGTAAAACGTGTAAGTTATCACCATTGATATCAATCACGAATAGTATGAGGGTCTCATTGGTTGTTTTCTATAAAAAGGTAATTGACAATTGGGGCAATGTGTGTATTCTAGAGAGTGGAGATGGTGTATGTCATATTGAAAATATCTGCCGGCACACTTGCCTCCAACCCCCCCTCCCCCCCTCCCCGAAAAAAAAAACAATGAAGCGTTTGCAAGACTTCCAGGTTGTGACGTCGACGGAAGTGCAGGAAAAAATTATAGGATATGTCATAATTTCTGAGGCTTGGTGGGCTCTCTCTGTATGTTTAACTCGACAGATTAATTGATTTAGTTGGTAATATGCAACAGTTTCTTTCATATTTGAACTTAAAAACAGTATCTGAATACTCCAGGTAATGTAATCGCAGATTTTCTACATGTATGAAGTGGATATTGTGCGACGTTGTCCACCTTATCATTCACTGGATAAATGATATATACATGATCTGTTTTGAAGACTTTGTAATGAGTGTGTGTGTGTGTATGTGTGTGTGTTGAAATAAGAGAGTTATAAGAAACAATGCTAGCCAGTACACAAAAAAAGATGCACTCTCGTTGATGAATTATCAGCAATTCATCTCTTCTTCGCTTCTACCTGTTAGCTTTTTAACCGCCTCTTCCACGCCCATCTCAGTGCACGCTATCTTGTACATTAATAATCGAGAAACCAATATGATTTTCTTGGACCTCCCTCTCGTCAGTCCATGATAAGACTTTAAGTGATTTCCAAAGCATTTTCTATTAACATAACTTTTGAGATATTATGAATGGTATAAGCGTACCTGACTGAAGGATTGTTGCAATCAATAAGACAGCGGAGGCAGTCACTGTGGAATATGAAGCCATGTTTGGGGTAGAATACAGGATCCGGGCTCCCGTATTTCTCTGATATAACTAGCTGGGCACCACAAGGCTAAGGTAGAAAATATATACAAGTTCACTGAAGATAATAAAACAAGTTATTTGAAGTTAAAGAAAAAAAAAGCACGTGCAATTTTATTTACAATCAAAGTAGAACTGCCTAACAAGTATGAGCATTTTGTATATGACACAAGTGTATTTTTTCATTTACTTTCTGAATTCTATGTGTATTGCAAACGTGCTCTTGTTAAACTTTAGTCTTCTGTAATCAGCATAACCACGATCCTTGTAAAAAAGACAATTGCATGCCAGAAACGCTTTTGCAAAATTTGTTCCACCGTTCAAGATTTTATATTTAAGTCGGTAACACATTATTTGACAAACCTCACCTGTTTTAGCTACGGCACGCTGTGAAGCTAAGAGACCGACGCCCATAAAGGCATATGCATACTTGCGTGGTATTGGGTTTGATTGTTATCCTTGTGCTCGACCAAGCAAACAGCCAGGGTAAATACATCGGCTAACATGAGGCCATTGTGCAATAAATGCTTTGTTTGTGTGCTTTTACGGACTCGAGGTGGAGGAATTTTGCGTGGGATTCTTGGACAGTGGCTTGATCCTTGTTCCTTTGATCTAGTTTTTCATCTGCTTATTCACGGAAACACCATTTTTTGCCAAAATAGAGTTTTATTAAAAATAGCACGAAAGACAAATGACCGCCAAACTGAAATTTATTTCCCGTTATCATTCCCTAAAATTCTTTCACTTTTAATATATAGACTCTGTCACACACCTCTTGCCCCTATTTGAAACAGATGGCGACGCCCTATTAAGTTTAGCCTAAAACATATAGCATGTTAAATCGTTCATATTTTTTCCACATAGAGAATGTGTAAACTACCTATTTCGATATATACTTACTATTTAATAAATTCGATTAACAACAAAAGCATATCTTTAAGTGTGAATTGAAAGGGCTTTCCGTTTTAGGAAACGCCCTCATTTTAAGCAAACAACCTACAATATGGTATATTGACCTTCTACACCTGCCCTGGTTGCGGGGGAATGGACATTATATAATTTTCTATAGCAATATCGACCACTGCCTAAATACACAATAAGGTTCAATCTAATATTATATGTAGTAAGGACCGAGAGAATATATTAATCATATTTGAGTCAAGTGGAAAATTCAGTGCAAAATATAAAACAATATTAGTACGACTTACGTCGGGAGGGGGGGGGGGGGGGGGCGGAGGCGGCGGTGGCGAATGGTCACGTGATTACGGTGCAAAGCCCGTGGCACGAATGAGTAGGTCCAATTTCCGAATCCCTTCTCAAATGTAAGATTACTTATGTTAGGTGTCAAGACTTTTCTGTCAAATTTAGAAGTAAGAATATTTTGCTATTTTTTTACCTGAAGCGAAAAAAGAAGAATAAGACCAACTTTAAAAAACAGTTTAATACAATAAGGTAATCTCTCTCGAAAATGTATCCTTTCCTTGAGTAAAAAATTAAAATACGTTAAAATGATTGAAGTACAACATGAAATATCCTAACTGCAATATTTGGAATAAATTAATTGCTGATACAGATGCATCTTGATATGCAGCTGGTATATGTATCTTTGCCCTCCACGTGTCAATTTTTACGATATTTATCACAAACATTAAAAATAGATTTAGAATTCATGATTACATTAATCACTGCACTCTTTATACATTAGAACAGTGATCGAAATGTGACCGGAAAATAAAAAAACGAAAATAAAATTAGTAAAATATTCTTAGGCTAAAGAGAATATTTGTATACACGGGACGGAATGAATTGTATAATGTTCAATATGAAAACCTGAAACACAAAGTTTCAGTGTATAATAAGACCTTCATTAGTCACTATTATTGAAGACCAGCATTTTGACATCATAGGAACACCATGACGTCATGCCTGTTGTTGTTTATGACGTCAGTAGTTAGCAACCATACGTGACGTCGACCCGCCCATCGTGGTTGTACTGGAGGCTGGGATGTCATCAAATGCATACTCCGCGGATTTTCCGGTCGTTTCCGACCTTCGCTGCTTGAGACAAATGGCGAAGTTGCTCAAGAAGTTAAGAATAACTGCGCCAGTGATGATGGCAATCCAGATCGTTAACACATCTGTCTGGAGGCCGATCCCCTTTTGTTGTAATGTACTGGATACGCCTTAAATTGAAAAAGTTGTCTCTTAAAGATAATTACCCCCTAACAGCTTTACTAGGCGTGACAGACATTTAAGCCGGTTAGTTGCTAGCAACATAGTGAGACTCCCCAGGGAGATAGATCAATCCAAATATCTGTGGGAATGGTCCCTATGTCGTTGAGAATTTATAAAATTATCGTAAACGCGGAAATAAAACGACTAAGCACAACTTTCTGGTTGCTTAAACACTCACTTGTCTCTGTAGGGTCAGGATTGCCGGACTGTGCACCTGAGACCGAGGCTATGGCGTTTTCTTGGAAACATCGGTAACTTCCGTATGAATTGATACAAGTAGCTCCACTAGGGCACACCTTACTTAGCGTGGCGTTCTCACACTCGTCAACATCTAAATAAAATTAGAGTTTTGTTATCGTTTGGCAAAGATATTGGTTTTAAAATTCACATGTAGGCAAATTACAAAAACAAAAGAAATTTGTAGGCAAACTTTTATAATTCAGGCACGATTTAATCATACCCCAAGGTTCCAATCAAATATTCGTATATGATTACCAATACTTTAAATCACAGATAGGCTACTGCCATAACGTTCAAGAGAAAGCCATTGTGTTTGTTGGGAAAATAAAAATTGCGTGCATTTGACCTTAATTTCTGTAGGAAGTAATATTCTAAGATGGGCTAGGGGATTTTGCCAATAGAGGGCTTCGTGTAAAAACTAGTTATTTTTCATACCACTTGGTGCGCTGTATTCCCATTCACAAAATGATGACGTAGACATATTAAGCTGAAAATAGAGGTAAACTTGACAGCAATGAAGGTCCTATTTGAATTTATTATATGATATTTACGTGTTTGAATAATGCATATTATAAATTTTAAAGCTATCAAGATGTTTCCA